CGATGGAGAAACACCACCCGTAACCCCTTCCCCATTTCTACCACTGATTACTGAGGGTGACTAAAAGGTGGCAGGGAGGTGGCCTAGTAGGGCAATTAGTTTTGGTGCTGGCGCAAGGCCCACAACAACCCGCCCAGGCGTACGTATGTTGGATGGAACCATCACCGACATCGTGGAGGCCCAGTCCCTCAGCCTGCAGCCGCAACACATACACATCTATAGCGCCAGTTGGGGGCCCGAGGATGATGGTCGCACGGTGGACGGACCGGGTATCCTCACTCGGGAGGCCTTCAGGCGTGGCGTGACCAAGGTGCACAGGGAGCGCACCTTTGGTGGAGGGTACCAACCCTGAGGTTGGAGGGCTGACTCTGTTCTCCTGGGTCACTCCCCACCCAGGGCCGCCAAGGGCTGGGCACACTGTTCATCTGGGCCTCAGGAAATGGTGGCCTCCATTACGACAACTGCAATTGTGATGGCTACACCAACAGCATCCACACACTATCAGTGGGCAGCACCACGCAGCAGGGCCGAGTGCCCTGGTACAGCGAGGCCTGCGCCTCCACGTTCACCACCACCTTCAGCAGCGGAGTGGTCACCGACCCACAGATCGTGAGCACCCAGCCCACACCTCAGGCCCTTCCTCCGCAGGGACCTCACTAGCCCGTGTCCTCCTGCCCAACCCCAAGACTTCCATTGGGCAGAGAGCTCATCCCTCTAGATCCCGATTCCCAAGCAAGTCCCACTCCACAAGACATGGCCCACACAGGCCCTGCCCTTCCTGCCCAGGCTTACAGCCCCTCTGACCCCATTCAAAACTGAGAGGCAACCATGTAGGCTCACTTGGCAACTGCCCTCTGCCTACCTGGAGGCCTCCTGCAGCTCCTTGCCTCTGCTGGGGCTGGCCCTGAGGTCATGCACGCGCACACACACACACACACACACACACACCCTGCAGGGCTGTGCTACCGGCTCCCAGGTTTCCCACCCTACAGGTGACACATGGGGTCCCTGTGGCTCCTTGTCCCTCAGCACTTCTGTCCCTCAGATAGGGGCCAAGCACCAGGACTTGGGCACTTGCTGAGACTGAGTCTCAGAATCTTGACACTGTTTTTTGTTTGCTTTTTCTCTAGCCCTGACTGTCCTGGAACTCACTCTGTAGTCCAGGCTGGTCCCAAACTCAGAGATCCGCCTACCTCTGCCTCCCAAGGGCTGGAATTAAATAAATGCTTTCGCCAGCACAGCCAACTGGTCTTGGTACTTTTTAGACTTAGGGCCCTTTGTCATTTTGAATCCAGTGGTTTTGGAACCTAGGCCTTAGCAGTTTTAAATCTTGGCCCCTAGTCATTGTTGACTAAGTACCTGCTAAACTTAGTCGTTTGTTTTCACCATGTAGACCAAGACAGGAGTCACAATTACACCTGCTTTGCCCCATGAATACTGGGATTGAAGGCCTGCATCACCAGGCCTGGGGCTTTTGGTTTTGTGTTTGTTTTTGTTTTTCGTGACAGGGTTTCTCTATAACTTTGGAACCTGTCCTGGAACTAGCTCTTGTAGACCAGGCTGGTCTCGAACTCACAGAAATCCGCCTGCCTCTGTCTCCCGAGTGCTGGGACAAAAGGCATGCACCACCAACACCCGTCCAGGCCTGGGGCTATTAGTACCTTTTGAATTTTATCCTCCTCCGTCTGTCTTCATACTTAGCTTAATCTTCAGCACTTAATCTTTGTGAACTTAGTCCCTAGTACCTTTCCAACAAGTTCTCCATCTGGGCCACGCACTGTGCTCAAGATCCCTCTGCTGTCTGTCCCCAGGTCACCACGGACCTGCACCACCAGTGCACAGACAAGCACACGGGCACCTCGGCCTCCGCCCCGTTGGCCGCTGGCATGATCGCCCTGGCTCTGGAGGCCAAGTAGGTGACCGTGGGGCCCCGCCCACCGCCCCGCCCCCACGGGCGGCGCCCGGCTCACCCGCCCTCGCCCCCCCAGCCCGCTCCTGACCTGGAGGGACCTACAGCACCTGGTGGTCCGCGCGTCCAGGCCGGCGCAGCTGCAGGCGGAGGACTGGAGGATCAACGGCGTGGGGCGCCAAGGTGCGGCGGGGCCAGGCAGGGGACCGGGGTGCCATGCACGCAGGTCGAGTGACAGCTACCTCTCCCGCGCAGTGAGCCACCACTACGGCTACGGGCTGCTGGACGCGGGGCTGCTGGTGGACCTGGCTCGCGTGTGGCTTCCCACGCAGCCGCAGAAGAAATGTGCCATTCGGGTGGTGCGCACCCCCACGTGAGAAAGGCCCCGCCCCCACTCCGCCCCTCCGGGGAGGGCCCCAGACACACCCACTGGAGGGAGGCCCCGCCCATACTCCAAGGAGGCAGGTCCAGATTGTCTCCACCTTGCACGTTGTTGCAGCCTCCCTCCTCCCCTACCTCCCCACCCTAGTCCAAAGGAGGGAAGATGCCCCAAATCCTCAATTTGCCCATCTGAGGAAGGAGAGTGCCCTCAGGCCCTTGGATCCCCAGGCCCGCCTCCCGGCGCTACCCGGCCCACGGCAGGCCCACAGGATCATCCTCACCTTATTAGCCCCATCCTGACTCGGATGCTGGTGTCGAAGAACGTGTCCGCATGTTCCGATGGCTCGCACCGCCTCATCCGCTCACTCGAGCATGTGCAGGTTCAGTTGTCACTCTCCTACAGCCGCCGCGGGGACTTGGAGATCTCCCTCACCAGCCCTATGGGTACACGTTCCACGCTCGTGGCCATCAGGTGTGAGATCCTCCTAAGGGACCTCGTGGGCCAGTGGATACCTGCCTAGCCTCTTGCAGATGGTTACTCTGCGAGGGTGGGACTCAGAAAACGTGTGTTAGACGCCACCGGTCCTGTCTCCCTTGCCACCTGCCTGCCACAGACCTTTGGATATCAGCGGCCAAGGCTACAACAACTGGATCTTCATGTCCACCCACTACTGGGATGAGGACCCGCAGGGCCTGTGGACCCTGGGCCTGGAGAACAAGGGTTACTATTTTAACACAGGTGAGAGAGCTGGCTGTGGCTGCTGGGCTGTGGGCTGTAGGGCTGGGGACCCTGTTCTAGTTAACCCACAGCCACAGAAGATCCTGGGGTTTTCTTGGAAAGACCATGCAATACTTTAGCAGTATATGTTGCTACCAGGATGATGGTTGGATCCCAGCCACCCATGCACAGTAGGTGTACTGTTATGGGTAACATGGAAGAGGGAGGATCTGGCCACTGGCACACAGTAGGTGTAATACCCTTGGGAAGTTGGGGAGTCTGGCCATTAGTGCACAGCAGGTGCAGTTGTCCTGAGGAAGTGGGGACCTCCAGCCACTGGAACAAGTAGATGTTTAGCAGCCAGACTCCGTTGATATGGGGCCCTGGGTGGGAGCTGTTAAGGCTGGCTACAGAGCCTGGCAGGCCACCGACAACCTGTCCCTCTCGGTGCCCACCGCGACCCCTGCCCAGGAACTCTCTACTACTACACACTGCTGCTGTACGGGACGGCTGAGGACATGACAGCGCGGCCCCAGGGCCCCCAGGTGACCAGCCGCGCGTGTGTGCAGAGGGACACAGAGGGGCTGCGCCAGGGTGAGTGGCCGCAGCGCATGGTCACTTGATGGGGGAGGAGGCGCAGCGGCCAGGGATGGGTGGGCGGGCACTGGCTGTGTCCTCCACCTGCAGCCTCACCTCCATTTCCATTCTGTCCCAATACAGAAAGTCACATTCCCCCCGACATCCTGGCCAGGCTCTGCCTCGTCTCCAGCCGGCAATGGTGGCTCGACAGTCACACAGAGCAGCCAGTGACCAGGGACAGGCCAGCTGTCACCCTCCTATTACACCTGCTGGGGCAGCTTGACCAGTGACTAAACTGCTTGTCCCCTATCCCTTGTGCTGGGCGAGCTCCAGGGCTCCTCCAAGGCCCGCTGTCTCCGGCCGCCTCCCTGGCTACCAGTCCCAGGCCATGGTGCTGGCCCAGCTGGCCAGGACCTTCAGGAGACCCCTCTCGGCTTGAGGAAGGCCCACCCCCCCCCTAGGCTAGACACCCCAATGCCCGAGACCCTGAAGGCTGGGGAGCCAGAGATGCCTCATTAGAAGGACAGGAGGGCGGTACCCCACGGCCCCGCTTCCAGGCTGGCATAGGACCCTGCCCCAAAAGGCCCTGGCAGGTCATCAGCAGGCCACTGCATGGGCCACAGCTGCTCATTTTGGAGGACAAGGGTGCAGAACCGTCCACAAGCCCTGTGTCTGACCTCATAGTTGCTAAATAAAAGTTAAATAGAAGATGTCACATTTGTGGTGTCCTTCAGGGCAGGGTGTAGACTAAGGAGCCATAAAGGAAGACTACTCCAGGCCCAGAGAACCCTAGTAGGCCCACTGTTCATACCAGTGTGGGAATGCCACAGGCCCATGAGCACCATCTGTAGTGCCCACTTTACTTTTTCACCCATGAATAGGTGTGTGGTGTTCTCTCCCCTTTGTTGTTGTTGGTGGTAGTGTTTTTCCAGACAGGGTTTCTCTGTGTAGCTCAGGCTGCCCTGTAAACCAGGCTGGCTTTGAACTCACTGAGATTTGCCTGTCTCTGCCTCCCGAGTGCTGGGATTACAGCTTGGGCCGCCACTCGGGACAAGGAAGCACAGCTCCTGGAACGTTTTATTTAGGCACCATCCAGCATCTATTAAGCGCCCACTGTGTACCTGGCAGTGGTTAGACACTGACTCCTAGTTGCTGCCTAGACAGGGGGACTCGAACTCACGCTCCCCACTCATGGACAGGGAAGCTGAGCTCTCTTTGGTCCATTTAGATAACTCGTAGTACCCTCTAGAACTAGGGCTCTTTAAGACAGGGGAGGGTTTCGCGAAGAGCCGAGCTGAAGCGGACCGGAAGTGCAAGAACCGAGCGGCGCTCAAACCGGAAGCAGAAGTTGCGCCGGCGGTGCAGGTTTTTGGAGCGGAGATAGGCTGTAGGGATTTTGGGGACAAACTGAGGCCAATCAAGTTTGAGCCAAACTGAGATCCCGGCAAAAGGGAAGGCAAGACTGGGACTGGGCCTCGGCGCAGGGCCGTAACGCGGGCATAGAATTTCGCGGGGTGAGAAAGCCAAGTAGAGAGTGAACCTGCAGTTAGCTCGCGCTCCTCCGCCATAAGATGAGCTCCAAGGGCAAGAAACGCGTGGTGCTGCCCACGCGCCCCGCACCTCCCACAGTGGAGCAGATCCTGGAGGACGTGCGAGGGGCGCCCGCCCACGATCCTGTTTTTACCGCCCTGGCCCCAGAAGGTAGGAGGACGACTGTCCGATCAGGAGCAAACCTAATTGCAGCCGCTCCCCTAGGGACGAATCTTTTTCTGTCACCGACCCTCTCTGACTCAAGTGGAATCATCAAAAGCAAAGCTGAGGGGCCCGTGAGCTTGGTAACCTAAACCAACCCAGGAGTCTGGGGCAGGAGGATTGCTGTGAGTTCAAGACCTTGTCTCAAAGAGAAAAAGAAAAAGGCCCAATGCCGCGTGGCTCCTAAGTGGAAATCTGGGGAAACTATACAAGAAGGGGCCATTTTTTTGCAAGTCCGGCCCTAGAATCCAGGAACCTAGGCAGTCCTGGATGGGACAGCAAGGCCATGGTGGCTGGAGGGGTCCTGTCCACTTGGTGACCCGCAAACGTTGGGATTTTTCAGGCCTGTAACTGTGACTCTATTTTCTAGGGTTTAGATAGGTCTCATGTAGTCCAGACAGGCCTCCAGCTCACTGTATAGCCAAGGATGACCTGTGGGTGGTGACACTGTTTCTCCTCTCCAGACCCCCCAGATTCATCCCCAAGGGCCGAGGACCCTGAAGGGCAGCATGAGCAGATCTACCAGCAGAGCCGGGCCTATGTGGCCATGAATGAGAAGCTTCGGCAGGCGAAGGACACACTGAGGCAGAAGTTCGAGGACCTTCGGCAGGCTGGTCAGAGGCTAGAGCGGGATGTCAGCCAGGTGACCTCAGCCACCTCCTAGAGCCAAGGACACCTGAGGCCCTCCATCCATGGCCAGGCACCTAGCTGTCAGCCGGAGGCTCTGGGTCAACATCTGCTGCCCAGCATTGGACTGAGGGGTCCCAGTGGCCCACTCAATAGGCTTTGGGTCTTGGTTCCCTCTATTTTGTGGTGGGGCTTAGTTATGTGGCTACCTCCTTATTCATGGGGGCACTATTCTGAATTGAATCTAAGAGTTGGCTGCCCCAGGGTGACCAGCCCTCCACCACTGTGCTCTGGTCCTGCTTCCTGTCCCATGTTGCCCTGGGCAGCTAGGGTCTCCATCCCAAACATCCATAGCAGGCCAGAATCTATATGTCCAGTGTCACTTTGGTTGACTGCCCTCTTCCTAGAGCCAGGTTTGGTCCTGCAGCGCCCATGGCCTTCCCTGCTCTCCTGTCCCTTTTCTCTGTGGCTAGAGGAACTCAGCAAGGGGGTTTCATTTCTGGGGAGTCCAGGGATACAGAAGGAACCCAAAGGCAGGGGGTGACATTTCAGGGATCTCTGCAGGTCCATGTGTCATAGAAGCTCAACTGGGCACCCACAGGACTCCGGTGTGGTGGACTCTGCCCCTTCTGGACCTGGGGTTCAGTTGACCTTGCTGAAGACCCACCACTCCTGAGTGGACAGGCTCTATTTCTGGAACATCAGAGTTGATTGTGGAGCTTAGAACTCCCCTGAGCTGGACTCACTGGAGCCCAAGTCCATATCAGCCCCTTCACACCCTCCCCCATCCCACATACCTTATCATGCCCCAAGCTGGCCGGTACTGTGTCAGAGGTGGCCATTCCTAGTAGTCACAGAGACCTGTTTACTCTGGGTTTCCCAGTTCCTAGCTCCACACCATGCCTGGTGTGTGAGAGCAAATGGCCAGGTATGGCTTGGTTGACCCTGAATTGACCTCCACTCTAGCATGTGGAGACTTAGTGCAGTGTCCAGTCTGTGGGGAGCTCAGTTCCATGCACCAATGCCTTGTGGGGTTGGACTGTAGGTTCAGTAGAAGGTTCTGGGATGACACCCCCCGCCCCGAGCCCATGTTGAAGATTAAAGCCTTGGGCAACCCCAGAGGAACTCTCAGTGGCTGACTTTATTAAAATGTGAACAAGAACCAGAAGCCAGGCTAGGTGTCCTGCTGGGTGTATCTACCTGGGGTTGAGGGGTCAGTATGTACAGAAACGTTAACCCTGTAGACAGGACAGAGATGCGGCAGAGGACAAACCACCCAGGTGTGAGCAAGGAGATGACATTCGCCATATGGCAGTGTTACACTCAGGACAGGAGGTGAGGTAAGTGGTGGGCGTGTCGTCCTGGTGAAGCACCCAGTGGTTAGTCTCCAATGGACCACTGGTCTCCAGCTCAGGGTGCCCGCAGCCATTGCCAACCTGGAGGACAGCGGGCCCCTCTTCCATCTCTAAGAACACTCCAGAGACAGGCTGGTTTCCTGGCTTTGGTCACCCTTCAGGACAGCTCTTACCTACCTTTGCCTGGATGTTGCTCTGTGGCTTATATACCCCACTGTGTGGGGTGGAGAAGGCAAACATGGCTGCTGGACCCAAGGCGACAGGACAGAGGGGGTGGCCAGAAGAGTGATGGTCCGCCAGGCGCTGGTGGCGCACACCTTTAATCCCAGCACTTGGGAGGCAGAGGCAGGCAGATCTCTGTGAGTTCGAGGCCAGCCTGGTCTACAGAGTGAGTTCCAGGACAGTTACACAGAGAAATCCTGTCTCAAAAAATACAACGAAAAAGAGTGATGGTCCTCTCTGCTCCACTTTGAGTCCTCCTCACGACCCACATGGGGAAACTGAGGCACAGAGCAGCATGTGTGCCACCTAGGGTCTCACAGTGTGTGGTTTACAGGTCACTCTGCAGAAGATGGTCACCTCTCCAGCCCCAGCAGGACATCTGTCTAGCGCCAATGTCCCCACCACAGGTGACATCCTAGGGTCCATGGTTGGTATGAGCTGTGTCCCAGAGTCGCCTTGCTTCCTCATCCTCTCCCTACAGTCTCACTTAGGCCAGCATGTCCTCTGGACTCTGCCAGAGCCCTGTCCAGAAGGCATCGTCCTGGAATTGAAGAGTTGGTACCTGGTGTTCCTGCTGTGATGAGGGGCAGAGCCCTGGGCAAGGAAAGCACCAGGCATCTCTGGGACTGGGATTTCAAAGCACTGGACAGGTGTTAGGATACACATGTTAGGACAGATGTTAAGTTGCACAGCTCTGTAGGGTCAGCCCTGGTGGTGTCTCCTGGTTGTCACTGTTTTCAGTTGTAATGGCAATTGTGGCGGGAAGGGGCAGTGATGCCTGCAGTCCTTTCTAGGGCCTCCCACCTTCTCAGAAACCACTTCCCTCATTTCAGAGCAGGGACTTGAGGCCAGCTCAAGGGTGGTGTCCTCCGAACAACTGCAGGTGACCGTGGCTACAGGTCCCCTTGTAGAGAGCAGCCTGGGGTCCCACAGGAGAGAGGTTGTTGGCTCTCTCTGCAGGAAGACATGCTGAGCTGAGACCCAAGACCTCAAAGGCCCACATACCTTCGGTCTTTACCAAACTCTTGATCCCTGCTCTCCATGGCAGCCCCAGGCCTCCCTGCAATTCCACACATTGCTTCCAGGCTGTGGGTGAGCCAGGGATGAGGATCCTGACATTCCCTGCATCGTAATAGACACACAAGACACTGGGAAGGACCAGGCTCTCACAGATGGACCTGTCTCCTCCCGGCAGTGCTGGTCCTCGCCCCACCTCCCCAGGGATGCCAGCTGACTAGGCCTGCTCTCCCTTCCTCGCCCCTCAGAGCCTGTCCAGATGGCAGCAAGCTTGTACTCATCCTATGTGATGATGAAGGGACATGGGGTCGGCGGCTCCCCAGCACCTGATCTCTCAGAGGCCATGAATGCTCAGTGAGCAGCTTGGCTACATCCCTCAGCCAGCACTCCTCAACTGCCTGCCGCTGAGAAGGCAAACACGCCGGGCAGAGTCCTCATTAACCAATTATCCTAGCACTAATTACAGGCTTCATGGTGCAGGGCTGAGGTTGAGACAGCACCAGCTGTAGAGTCTCACTACCCTCCCACAGCCTGCCCCCACCTTGGAGGCAAGCACAGTCATGTACCTAGAGGCCATGCCCACCCTCCTGCTGGGTGCAACCCAGGGCAGGTCCTGCATGGTACCTACAGCTAGTGTCCCTCAAAACTTGGCTCTCCATCCCCTTCCCAGGCCAACCTCAGGAAATGATGCTGTGCGCCCTGCCGCCTGTCTATAGCCAGTTCCCTGGAGGCCAGGCATAGTAGCAAGATCTGGCTCTAAGCTGTGGAGATGCCAGCTGGACAGGAGCTCTGAGGGCACAAATGTGCCTATTTGGAGCATCTGGAGAGCAAGCCTGCAGGGCAGAGAGTGTTCCAGAAGGCTGGCCTATACCCACTACTCCAGGAGGCTGGCTGGAGAAGTGACAAGGGCTTTCTCCAGTGCAGAGTCACTGGCTGCTGTGGCCACCGCCATAGGGCTGGGCACATAGTTGAAGGGGGGAACTCGTGCAGCCCTGCTGGGTGAGCCATGCCTGCTTGTGGGAAAGCCTCCCATGACTGCACTCAGACCCTCATGGGTGAAGGGCACTGAGGCTATTGGTTTGGAGAGGACTGCTCCGTCCACGTCGCTGCCCAATGAAGCAACAGGGCCACTGGTGGGGGCCTGTAGGGGATCCCTGCTCTCCAGGCTGGGTGATGTGCTGGAGTTGGTCTTAGAAGTGGCCACATCCTCGGTTTGTACCACTGCATCACTGGTCTTGCGTTGTGGAGTTCCAGCAGGGCTATCCTCGGGTGATGGACCCCTGAGAGGCAGGGCAGAGGCAGGCAGTGTGCTACGCAGGATGTGGGGGACATCTTCATCCTTGATACGACGCCAGGTGGTACCTGGCGCAGCTACCCTGGGCAGTGGTCTGGTCTCTCCGTCACTTCCCCGGCGAGTGGTATTAACTTGGGTAGTGGGTACAGATACTTGGGTATCTGGCCTGCGTACGACGCTAATGTGTGGCAGGGATGCATACCGCTTGACTGTCTCAGGCTGCCCCGGAGGTGCCCGCATAGGTAGGCGTGAGGGGCTCTCAGAGCTGGTGCGCCTGGGCGCACGTGGAGCAAGACCTGGCTTGGCCTGCGGGGACTTCTGTGATGCCAGAGGTTGTCCTGGGGACGCCCGCAACTCATCACAGCGAGAGGAGCAGAGAAAAACAGCAGGGAGTGTAGGCCGTCCACGGCGGGGTGAAGCGGCCTGGGAGGTGGAGGCTGTGGAGTCTGCAGAGGACAGCTCCGATCTGCGGCGACGAAGGAGACCCGGGGATTCCTTGATGAAGGTCAGTTGCCTGCGGAAGCCTGAGCGGTCTGAGGACTCGCTGCCACTGGAGCGGGCTGAGGCCATGCGCACTAAGCCCAGGCGGCCACCACGAACCCCAGGAGTCCCCTCAGCCCCAGCTCTGCCCCTGGATCCAGGCTCTGGGGATGGCCTAGCCAGTGGTGGTGGTCCTCTCTTGGCTGGCCTTTGCATGAACGGGATCCGCACAGGTGATTTCTGGGTCTTGTGTTGCTTAGCTAGAAGGGCCCGGGCTGGTGACTTGGGCACTGGAGACCCTCCCGGGCCAGGCAAAGGCCCTGCAGTTGGAGTGGCCAGAGGGGACCTCCTAGGCAGGGGCTGGGAGGCTGGCGAAGTCTGTGATGAGCTTGAGGATGGAGTCTTAGCGAGGCGGGCTGGAGGGGTCGCACTTCTGGGCGGATGATTCAAGGCTGCCAGCTCTGAGATTTTACCTGGCCGGTGCAGGCTCCGTGAACGCTGTTGCTGTTGCCCAGGGCTGGGAGCTTTGGTGGCAGTTCCTGGCTGAGCAGTACCAGATGTCCCCATCTTCTTAAGTGTGGCACAAGGGCCAGAAACTCCTTTGGACTGAACCCGGGAGGCTGGGCTAGCTGTGTAGATCACCGTCCGTCCCCGGAGCATGGCTGGCTGTCCTGACACCGTTTTCTGGGTACCCTTTGCCTTCTCAGGGCCACTAGGAAACCGTGGACTCCCACTGATTTTAGTGAAAGCTGCACCCCGTTTCTCTGGACGCCAGGTACCCCCAGCTTCAGCCCCAGGCTTTCGTACTTTCCTGTGTTTGGAGGACTGTGAAGCGGAGCCTGCTGAGAGCCCAGACACCAGAGACAAGAGGGAGTCAGACTCAGAAGATGCCTCCAGGCTGGCCTTGGCTGCCGCCTGGTGCAGCCATGTAACAATAGAGTTTGCACCCTCTTGGATGGCCTGCCACTCAACACTGTCTAAATCAGAGGCTGGGTCAGAGGTAGGCACCTCCTCACGGCATTTCCGAGGTACCTCAGTGGCCCGCACATCAGACCGGGCAGCTCTGGGCTTGCGACGACGAGACCCGGCTACCTGGGTCCGGCGCTTGGGCAGGGCTAAGCTGATACATCGCTGCAATAGCTCCTCCTCCGCTCTTGGGCTAGGAGAGCTGTCCCGTTTACTGCCTGGGCTTGGGTTCTTGGTAGTTGCCTGCTCCCGGCCTCGGGGTTGGCTAAATGCCTGTTCAGAGGTTTCAGGCTCACTGAGGGAGCTAGCTGAGGAATAGCAAGGTGGGGTCTCATCCACGATCAGTCTGGGCTGGGCCCTGACAGGTGGTGTGATGGGCTGTGACACCCTGGATGGGGTCTCCTTTCTGCCTGTGGGTTTCTCACGCTTAAGAGCCCGTGGGATAGCAGACACCTGCCGGGGTGGTGGTGCTATTGCTGGTGGCTCTTCATCAGAGTCGTAGAAGCAGTACACAGCTTCTTCTGTGGGAGTTGTGAGGCACAGTGACTGAAGGGCACCATCCCCGCGGGTCCGGGTCTGGCATGAGCCATCCCTGTTGGATCGAGCACTCTGGGGCCTGCTGAGGGGTAATTCTAATCCTGCCCGGTTCCTACCCGCTCCTTGGGTGTGCTCTGTACTCCTACCAGCACCCACTGTCTTGGGTCGGTGCCCACGGGTCTGCCTGGCAGGGGCAGCTCGGCCTGTGGGTTTCTGCCTTTCTCCAGGCCCTCCTGGCTTGTCCCTGGAGGGTCCCTGTAAGGTCTCATCACTGAGTGATGCAGCACTGGAAAAGTTGACAGGTGTGCCGTCTGCCGAGTCAGTGCCAGAGTCATCATCCCGAGCCGGGGCAGGCACTAACATGTACACAGGGACTGGCAGTGCACGGCGGCCAGGCACCAAGGCCGAGACCACCTTGCGGAGCCTGGCGGGCATGGCTGCCCCCAGACATTCACGCAGTACCTCCAGTTCTTTATCAGCTGCTGACCGAGCCCGAGAACCAGCAGGTGCTGGGCCATCTAGGCGGCCAGCAGCCTCGTCCCTCCGACGGTGTCCCCCGCCGCCACCTGCATGTTCTGGGCAGGCTGGAGGCCTCAGCCGCAGCTCCACGTCCTGCTGAACATACAGCTCATGCAGGGCCAGCGCACTGAGGCTGGAGGCACAGGAGAAGTTCTCATCTGGCTTCTCCACTGTGAAGCGGACGCTGCCTGCGTCCAGCTCCGAGGGCGGCTGGCACCTCTCCCGACAATCTGCTATGTCTAGGAAGCGCTTCACGTAGCTCTCCCACTGCAGGCTGAACTGGCTGGTTTCAGGCTGGCCAGCAGGTGCCGGTGGCGTCTTGCTGCGGCTTGGTGGCATCGTCTGCCCTGGGCTGTCGGGCAGCTCACTGGGACTCACTGTGCCACTGCCCAGCCCACTACATGGGTCACTGGGAATGGAGCTGGCAATGGAGCGGCTCTCAAAGCTGCCCAGAGAACTCACTGAACTACAGCGGCTCAGGACCAAGGGTGTCTCCTGGACACAGTTCTCAGACGAACTGGACGGTGTGGCATCCTCCACCCCAAGACCTCGACTGCGGCCCTGGCGGGGTGCTGGGATGGATACAGGCAGAGAGGTGGACCCAGACGCTCTCCACACCCCATCCAGCTCTGCCTCACCTGGACCAGCTTCCTCTAGCCCCTCCAGGGATGAATCACTGTCATCAAGATTCCCAGCCTGGCTGGGGCCAGCATGGCCAGTAGAAGACAGAGAGGATAGTGAGCTGCATCGGGAAAGGGACATTGACCCATCCTGTGCAACCAGCTTCTGCAGCACCTTGCTAGCCGCAGGTAGTGGGGAGGCCACCAGTTTTTCGGGGACTTTGCTCAAGCTATCGGCAGGTATCCATGCCTGTTTTCGAGCCCCTGGGGAGGCTCCTGGTCCAGCGAGGGGTCTGATGCCCGACCCAGTGGCACCATCAAGCAATGGCACATGCTGATAGGTTGGGGATAGCTTGATAGTACGTACACGGGCATCAGCAGTAGCTGTGTCCCGGGCAGGAAGTTCAGCCCGGTTGGGGAGGTCCAGGTCCAGCCTGCTGGGCCGAGTCTGCCCACGCAAAGGGTCCTCACGGTGCTCTGCCAATGCAGCCAGTGGGCATGGCCGCATGTGTTCCCGGGGACAATAGCCATCGCTGGTGCTACCACTGTTCAGGCTGTCATTAGAGAGACTGGTGTGGGCCGCCTTGAGCCTCAGTAGAGGGTGCGCCCGGCTGCTGGTCTCACGTCGCCCACCCTCAGTACCCCGGCATGGAGAGCAAGACTGGGCACGACCCTCCCTTGGTGCCTCTTGCCCTGGGTCCCCCGAGCTAAGACTGAAGCTGTCATCTGATGAGGTATGCAGGGCAGAGATGTCCTCCACCAGTCGATCGATCCGAGCCACGGCCAATGCCAGCTTGGCCTTAGCTTTAGCAGCCACAGCTGCCTCCCCGCCAGACTCTTTCTCGGCTTCTAGGCCACCCTGGCGGGCAGGTTGGGTGCGGGCCAGTGCCTGGCCCTGAAGAACGGGACCACCAAGGAACATAGACAGCACTGCGGGGCTGGCAGGCTCAGCTGTGGCCGCAGCAGCCAAGGATGGTGCGTCATCATCATCAAAACAGCCAGAGTCGGAGGCATAGTCCTGCACCAGCCCTTCTAGGTGGCGGAGGGGTGGCAGGGGCTTCTTTGAAGTGGCCTCTGCCTCAGGCAGGCCCTGCTTCTCCAAGTGGCCCAGAGCATGCGCCAGGCGCCGGGTGTCCAACTCTGCTTCCAGAGCCCTCTGTTTGCGGACATACAGGCTGGGCACGCAGGTTCCCGGGGAGATGGCTGTGGTCGCTGCCTGGTACTTGGCAGGTCTGTGAGCCAGCAGGTTTCGCAGGGCAGCAGCACTACCCATGGCGATCATCTTGTGTTTGGAGTGGACGAGGTTACGCAGCATGCCCACAGCCCCCAGGTCCCACAACAGTTCCTGGTCCCGGGGGCTGCGGGCTGACAGGTTCCAGAGTGTGCCGCAGGCGTTGCTCACAATGGTCAGGCTGTGGGACGTGAGGTGCTGCAGCAGTGTTTGTAGGCAATTGTGGTCACGGAGCACCTGCCTGGGAGAATCCAGAGCAAAAGAAAGGTGGGCTTGGATACCCCAGCCCTGTAGAGCCCACCGTCCACACCACACTGCCAATCAAGTCATGCTGCCATCCAAGCCATACCCGCTACATGAGAGTTCCACCCCAAGATTCCCAGTGTAGCCCCCAACTCAGCCGTACTCACCTTGTTCTGCCATACCCTGGCCTAGCTATGCCCTCTCCTCAGCCATGCCCACCCCCGGCCACCACCACAAACACCCTCCACCCCCACCCCCCGGCACCGCTACATCCACATCTATCTTGCTGTGCTTTTACCAAGTAAGGTCCACCTCTGCCTGAGATGAAGCCAATCCCAGGTCTGCCACGCCCACCCTCACCTGTCAGGCCCATGCTCAACCACTTCTACCTCTATTACTGGCAGCTAGTCTAGTTGCCCCCAGCTTGCTAGTCACACCTCTGCTGCCACGCCCACCGTCAGAATAGAACCACTGGAGTTGGCGCATGTCCATCCTTTAGGTTTGATCTTGAGAAAAACAAAGCATCTGTGGCAAAAGTGTGTCTGCCCCACGCTGCATGGCATGCTGTAGTTGTTTGCTTTTGGGTTTTGTTTGGTTTTGTCTTGAGGTAGGCTCTGAGGAAGCCTGATGCTGGCCTTACGCCAGGTTCACAGGTGTGTGCCCTGTACCACCACGCCTGGGTTATTTATTTAGCTTGTTTTGTTTTGTTTGGTTTGGTTTGTTTTTTTGTTTGTTTGTTTTTGTTTTTCAAGACAGGGTTTCTCTGTGTAGCTTTTGGAGCCTGTCCTGGAACTTGAAACTCACAGTGATCCGCCGGCCTCTGCCTCTCTGGTGCCAGGACTAAAGGCGCTGGACTAAAGGCCGGTGTCCTCATGCCAAGCCCTCCCATATAACCTTGTGCAGTTTGTTTTTTGTTTTTTGTCTCTCTCTCTTTTTTTTAAAATCCACTTTTGTCAACTGGATACAAATCTAGACATACCCCTGGGAGAGGGAGACACTGCCCCCACCAGAGTGGCCTGTTGGGAAGTCTGGTGGTATTTTCCAGGTGAATGATGGGGGCCCCGGCTATTGTGGGTGGTGCCACCCCTGGGCTGTATAAGAAAGCAGGTTGAGCAAGCCCTTAAGCAACACTCCTCCATGGTTCCTGCCTCTGGGCCTGCCCTGAGACCCTGCCCTGGCTTCCCTCAAGGATGGACAGTGGTCAGAACACAGGGTAAGTAACCCTTCTCACTGTGTTTGCCACAGCACTAGAGCCCTAAGAAACTGTGTTTCATCTTGACTATGAGCCTCTTGGTGCAGGTGTGAGGGCTCCTGCAGCCCTGCCATCCCCTAGCCCCGCCCTCTGCACAGCCAGGCCGATTCTAGCAGAGACTGACCTGTAGTCCTCTCTGGTGGCAATGAGGCTTGACACGTTGCGCAGGATCCCACCACCACTCTCAATGACTGCCAGGGAGTTCCCTTGGCAACGATAGGTGAGTGTGCTCACCAGGAAACCCAGTGCACCATCTACTTGGCAAATGGCTGCCTTGTTCTCGGTGCTGTGTGCAGACAGGTTCCACAAGGCACTGAGAACGCTCTTTAGAGTGGACTCCTGGAGTGGGAGGAAGGATGGTCAGAATGAGGGGTTGGCAGCTCATGGCTCCTTCACTGTGGCCACAGAGTGGCCACAGAGATCTCCCACAAGATCAGCAGCCCAGTCATTCTGCACTCTACAGGCTGAGCCAGGAGATTGCAAGTTTCAGGACAACCTGGAACATCTGTAATATGTAAGAAAAAAAAAAAGCTACAAAAGTAGCTCTATGGTAGAGCCCCTGCCTAGAATACCCCAGGGAGGGGCTGGGGGCGTGGCCAGGGTGGAGCCCCATCTAAAATCCCCCAGGGAGCAGCTGGCATAGTCAGGGTAGAACCCTGCCTCAGTGAATGGCTGAGGGCATGGTCAGGATAGAGCCTATGCTTAGAATCCCCCAGGAGAGGCTGGGGCGGTGCTCAGTGCTGGCGTATGATTACCACTACTCCTTCCTCAGCAGTGTGGGTTAGGGCTGCAGTTTTCAGAACGTTAAGTTGGGAGCCCGAGGCTCACTCATCCAGTTCGCTCTGTTTTCTTTGGGGCACTCATCACCTGCCCCAGTGTCTTCCCACACTGAGCCTGTGGCTCATGATAATGGCTATGGTGACTCCCTCTGACCTCCCCAATCCCACGCCAGCCATGCTCACCTTGGAGGCGCGCAGCACACATTCCATAAGGGCAGTCATGCTGCCGACTTCCCTCAGCACCTTCTTGCTGTTGATGTCAGCCCTCCACGACAAATTACGCAGGATACTGGACACGACCTGGTCAGGGTGGGAGGGGCATCCACAGTGGACCCAGAGCCCAGAATCCAAAGGCATCACCCTCCTCCCACCAACTTTGACCCTGGAGAATGGCCAGTTACAGAGCCTGGGGGGGTGTTACTCATGAAAGGGATCATGTGGGGTCTAACAAGCTAGGCTCACTCCCACCCCCAGGTACCTGATGCAGCTCCTCGCTCTCAGAGGCCAGCTGGGCCACGATGGCTTCCATGCAGCCTCGGCGGGCACACAGTGTGGCCTGTTGGGATTGACATGGAACAGCTGTTCCCACAGCAGTGAGAGCAGAGGACTCCTCGTCCTTTGTCTCACTTCATCCCACTGGCCAGCTGGGGAAAGCGAGGCCTTGCCAGGGGGAGGCAGCCGCTCCGCCCCTCGTCCTTGCTAATGTGGGTGCGATCACAAGAGAAACTCTTGCCAGCCTCTGCCATCTCTAGACTTCATCACCTGCTCACTCTGTCCCTCTGTACACCAGAAATGACCATTCCCACCTCTGAGGGCCACATCCAGGCTGTGTTGAGGCAGGGAAAGCCTCAAGGTGGTACCTGTATCCCACCCATCATCCTCCCTCTCCTGGGAACCTTGTTGGCGACATCTCCGAAGGTGAGGTTGGTGAGGGTCATGCCAGCATAGCGGCGCAGAGCAAGGTTGAGCGGATCCCGGGACATCTTGTGCATCTCGTAGTCCACCTGCAGTAGTTCTGCCACAGCCTGCAGCCCCCCTGTAGGAGTGGGAAAGGAAGGCAGGTCACAGAGAGCCAACACTGGCCCACTGGGGCTGATTTCTGCATCCTGGGTATCCACTCTCCCAGTTCTGTTGTCTGTTTACTTTGAGACAGGTTATCTCTGTGTAGCCCTGGCTGTCCTGGAACTCGCTCTGTAGACCAGGCTGGCCTTAAACTCACAGAGATCTTCCTGCCTCTGCCTGAGTGCTGAGATTAAAGGCGTGCACAACCACCGTCTGGCTTCTTTCCCTGTTCTAATACGGTCCCCCATGCATACTGACCAACCCATCCTCTGTACCATGGCACCTAGAGGGGTCAGTCAACAGCTATGTAAGGCCTGGGAGGGGACATGAGGGAGGCTCACCTAGCTCATTCATAGCCCGACGGTATTCCTCATCAAAAGACAGCTTCATCACTGCACAGGTAGCCTGGCATATCTGAGGCTCGATGGGGACAGGGGCTGTGGATAGGGGTGAGGTTAGAGTCCCATCCCTGGAGTGATATCCCTAGATGATGCCCAAGTTCTCCCTTGCCTCTCCTGGTACTGTCTCTACTACTTCAAAATGCCATGTCACATATTTGCTGAGTAATAGTCTCTTGTACAGATGTCTCAAGGCAGTGGAGCTGTTGCTGCTTACATACCTGCACAGCTTAGACAGGTAAATGAAACCTGCCGCTGTGCTTGCAGCACAAGCCTGTGACTTCAGTGCCCCTAAGCTAAGGCAGGACGGTCACAAATTCAAGGCCAGCCTGGATATATTAGTGAGACTTGGCCTTAGATGAAAAGGACTGTTGGCCTGTCCCAGCAGTATGCCACCTCCAGTGAGGAGCTGGGGGTGTGATCAGAGTGGAGCCCCTGCCTAGAATCCCCCAGTGAGGGACTGGGGCGTGGTCCCTTGGGTTCAGCTACACACAGCTGAGGAGGTGCAAGGTCTGAGGTTGTCCTCTCCCAAGCCTATGTATGCTGTGTAGGTGACTCACGCTCACCGCCTCCTGAACCACCCTCAGTGCTGTCGCGCGTCTGCAGCCAGTCCCAGCAAGTCTCACAGTAAGCCCGAATCTGCTCCAGCACATGCAGCACACGCATCTCCTTGCGGGCCAAGCCCTGATCCGGCTGAGAGAAAACGATGTTGTGCATGGCCGCGTTGGCGCGCATGCGTGCATCTTTGGCACCAGGTGCCCCAGGGGTCCCCGCACGTCCCCCAGCCCCGGCCTCGGTGCCATGAAGGATCTGGAGCAATAGTGGCAGGCATCCTGAGCGGCGCATGGCTACGCAGCTCTCCGGCGAGCTAGACATGGCCAGCAGTGTGCGTGCTGTATCTTCCTGGTCCCGTGTCGCCAACATGGATAGAAGCCAAAACACCACCTCCACCTGCAGAGGGATGCGGGGTGAGAGCAGGTATGAAGTGGTACCTGCGCTCCAACATTTGCTGACAATTCCCCTTCAAGAAGTGACCTGCAGGCCGGTAAAAGTCTCAGGTGTTAAGATGTTTGCCATCAAATCCAATGACCTCAGTTCCCTTTCCATGTCCCACATGATGGAAGGACAGAACCTGCAAATTGTCCTCTGACCTCCTCATGTCCATCAAAGCATGGCCTCCTCGCAAGACTCCCACACTAAGTAGGGAACTTTAATCCCAGCAAGCAGGAGGCAGAGGCAGGCAGATATTTGAGTTGGAAACCACTCTTGTCTACAGAGCGAGTGCCAGTCAGGGCACTCTGTCTCAGAACAAAGAACTCTCCCCACACAAGAAGCCTCTGTCCAGGGTGGCTCTCCTTCAACCGGGATTGCTTGGGGACCCTCATCCTGTGCCACTGGTGGCCCATTTTCGGATTTTCCCCTCTCACCTTGCTGTTGCCAGGGTGAGGGGTGCCATCCTCAGGGTGAGTGGGGACTTCCGGCTCCTGGTCCTCCTCCACTGCCACAGGCTTTACTGCCAGCAGAGCCTACAGGGAGAGTATGAGGCCTGGGGGTTCAGTCTGCACAACCCACAGGCTGCAGACCCCTTCATGGACGCAGGACAGGGGAACGTCACTGAGTTGATGGGCATCTGCCATCACTTCTTCGGCCCTAGCTCTCCTTGTCGTGGTACCTGGGGTTCTGTCTGCTGCACCCGGTCCTGGGCCTCCAACAGCTCCTTGTCAATCTGCTCCAGGCGTGAAGCACGTATCTATAGACCAGAGAAAGGAAAGGTAATGCTTTCTTGCTTGGTTGACCCCGCCCCCGACTGACCCCGCCCCATCGCATTCACCCCTCCCATCTCTGACTCCACCTCCTAATTCTCGGTTTTACCGCTGATTCCTCCCATTCAGCTCTCCTTCCACTTCCTGCACCCTGCCCACCTGTGCGCGCTGCACCATCTCGTCTGAGGTGCCGAAGCGTTCCTCCATCAGCGAGCGGATGTGCTGAGCCTCGAACTCCAGCTGCTGCCGGATCAGATCCATCTGCATCGAGAACTGCTGGGAGGGGGCATAGGCTGCGGTGAGGCGCTTCCGGGATCCAGCCTCCCTGCCACACACATACCCTCTCCCTCCCATCTTTGCTAGGTAAGCCACGGGGAGCTCACCGTGTCAACGTGTGGCAGCTCATCCAAGCGCTTGGACAGACCCTGCAGCTGAGAGTAATACCACAGCTTCTCCTTCTCCTCCTTCTCGATCTCATTCAACAGGAAGCATCTGGGGGGGGGAGGGGTACGAGGGAGGGACCTCCTTATAGGTGGCATTTACAGGGCTTCAGCTCTGAGATGGGCACCGGGAGACACTGGGCCGGGGGTAGGTAATTGTCAGGGGGAAAAGGAATCTCTCGGGAGGCTGAGTCAGGAGGATAGTCGAGTTTGAGGCCAGCCTTGACCACAGAGTGTAACCCTGTCTCAAAACATGGGGTCAGGGAGATGGCTCAGCAGGTAAAGGCACTTGCAGCCATGTCTGAGGACCCCAGAGTTCTATCCCCAAACCCACATGGTAGGCAAGAAAGGGCCTTGGGCAGGTTGCCCTCTGACCTACAAACACTCAAGCACATTCAAGTAAATAGAAATGAAATTTTTAAGAAAATTGTTTTTTTGTTTTTTTGTTTTTGAAACAGGGTTTCTCTGTGTAACAGTCCTGATCCTTGTCTTAAAATAGAATAAGCTGAGTGTTGGTGGCATACACCTTTAATCCCAACACTCTGGACAGAGGCAGGTGGATCTCTGTGAGTTCAAGCAAGCCTGGTCTACAGAGTGAGCTCCAGGACAGTCTCCAAACCTCTAGAGAAACCCTGCCTCAATAAAACAAAAACAATTTTTTTTCTTTTGTTTTCTAAAGAAGTTGGAGAGTTAGTTAGGTGGGTGAGGCCTGGCCATCACCTGAGTCTGCCCAGCGTGGATCTCCTGGTGACTTCTGACTACCACACACATGTCGTGGTGCTCCCCAAAGAAGAAATGTGGTTGGGGAACCAAAAAAAGAAAAAAAAAAAAAAAAAAGAAAGAAAAGCTATCAACAAAACTATCCCATTTTATGGAGCAGAAAACTGAGTCTGGGAAGTCACACAGCTAAGCTGATTTAAGGTCCAGCTGTTTGTCAGATGGGCTGAACTGGGTCTTCGGCGCTGCCCCTCTGCTGGCCCTGGGCCCAGAATATTTGGGCTTCTGTCCTTCCAACAACAAAGGCCTCCTTGAGGATCTCTGGCAAAAGGCCTGATTCTGAGCCCTGACTTTGGATTCTGCTCTATCCCTAGACGCCTGTATGTCTCCGACTTGGGGTTGGGGGGCGTCTCTCAGGAGCCTTTCCCCTTGCCAGGAATGTCCCCAGACCCTCAGTCACCCAGCTGGGGTCAGCCACACAGGGATACAGTGGAGAGAGGAGTGGAAGAGCCTAGAAGTAAGCCAATGAGCCAATCAGAGGGCAGAGTTTCTAGGGGGCGGGTCCTCCCCACACCCTCTCACCGCTCCTGGTCCAGTTCTTCCAGCAAGCGGATGGTGGCCCGGCTCAGCTCCCCGAAACTGTCCTTGGATGGGCCGGAGCCATGCACTGGGCTTTCCTCTGGGGTCCGGGTGGCAGGCTCTGGGCCCAGGGCTGGGGGTTGGAACTTTAGGTTGTAGAGGCTACTGATGTCAGTCTGAAGAGCTGGAGGGAGGGTGTCGAGGATGAAGGTCAGCAGACTGCTCCTGCTATGTCCCCTCTGGGCCTGGGGCAGTCCCCAAGTCACTTACCTTTCAGTTGTTCTAACACTTCTGTCTGCCCGGAGGATACCAGCACCCGCGCCTCCTGCTCCAGCTTGCCCTGAAGGTGTTTCAGGACCTCCTGTGGGAATGGTAGGGAATAGGGCTCTGGCCATCATGGCTGCCCAGGGTCCCCCAGGAACCTCTCTCTCGGGCCCTTCCAAGATATGAGTGCTTTTGACCCATGCCTGCCATGCAGACCCTCACCTTCATGCCAGAAGTCTCTGTCTCCAGTTTGGAGAGGTGGCTGGAGTTATCTCGTAGCTCCTGCCTTAAGTCTGTGTTCTCAGCCTTCAAGGCTTCCACCTGCCGCACCAGCTGCTCGTACGAGGCCATGGAGCTGGTCATCTTCAACTCCTGCAATGCCTGCAGCCAAGGCGGTCAAAAGAGTAGGAGCTGGTCCCTGGTGCCCCTCAGAGAGGCCCGGACCAAAGCTCAGCCTCTCACTTATCCTGGGAGTGCACACCAGGCAGGAATAGCTGTCTGGTGTGAACCAGTCACCGGGGAGCCAGCCTTTGAGACAGACAGAGACAGAGGAGAGTAGAAGCTAGGAGCCCTTAGAGGGCTGTTTGCTGCATAAAAGGCTAACTGATAGGTGGACAGACAGACACGTGGACACCCGCACTGACAGCCAGACAAAGGAGCACACAGACATCTGTCTCACCCTGGCAGTCCAAGTCAGCAGGTGGATGGGCCACCTGGAGGCCACCAGGTTCATAGACTGATACAGAAGTTGACAGACAGACAGACAGACAGACAGACAGACAGACAGATGGGATCAATCTCCCACCAAAGCACAGATTGCCAAGGCTGGCAGACTGCCTGGGGAGGGTGGGTCATTAGCTCACCCAGAACACTTGAAAGCCAAGGAGCCCTGGCTAGGAGAGTTATGAGCAGGAAACAGGAAGGTCAGTGTCGAAGATCCAAACTCACCAGGATGGTCCCAGGACTTTGAGTCCTGGACCAGGACGCCCCGAAGCCCCACCTCCCTCCATTCATGAAAGCGTCCCCAGTGACTCCGTTCATGGTTCCGCAGCCTCTGGCTGGGTTACCATGCTAGCTCTCAGCTTGGTGACAGGCCAGCTCTTTGTGCTCCTGCCTGTCTTTTCTCTTTATCCAGCCTCCTCCCTCTGTCCAGCTGACCAGTGCCTCTTCTCTCAGCTTGACTGTCCCTTCACAGTCACCCTGAAGCCCCCACGATCTCCCCCTTCCGTCTTTGTTCCCTTCCATCTGCGAGAGCCCCCTCCCTCCGCCTTTGTCTGAGGCTCGCCAATAGCATCTCGTCCTTTCTGCTCCCTCCTCCTCCTTGGGAGCCCCCTCTCCTGGCCAGCTTTGAGGCTCCATCCCAAATCAACCACACCCCCACCCCGCTTAGGTGATACCTGCTCCTTTGCCTTCCCCATCTGAACATACACATCTAATGCTCCTTCCTTTTTCCCTCTCTGGAAATCTCCAGCCCAGCCTGATGTCATCTCAGTCTCCCATCATCCCATCCAGCCTGGAGGACCTGCTCTGGCCTAGCTATGCTTTCTGGCTTCTTCCTACATCACACCTAAATCTCAGCTGTTCCTATGAGAGAGAAACTAGGAAACCTAAGATGTTCAGGGCTGGGGTGGGAAAGCAGGAGGAAGACAGGTGTAATCACAACTCAGACCCTGACTTGGGAAATGCTCAGCAGTTCAGTTAGTTAGCTGGCCATGGTGGCACATACCTGTCATCCCAGCACTCAGGAGGTGGAAGCAAGAGTATTAAGAATTCAAGGATAGCTGTGCAGTGATGGCACACAAGTTTAACCCCAGCACTTGGGAAACAGAGACAGGTGGGTCTCTGAGAGTTCGAGACTAGTCTGGTCTACAAAGCAAGTTCCAGGACAGCCAGGACTTTTATACAGAGAAACCCTGTCTCGAAAAAGCAAACAAAACAAAATAAAACAAAAATGCAAGGCTAGCTTAGACTACATATTGAGTTCATAGCTAGCATGGGCTATGTAAGAATGTCTCAAGTGATCAAACACTAAAAACAAACAAAACAGACCTGTCCTCTCCCTGTGTCTTTGTGTGTCCCTCTGATGAAGAGTGGGGACGATGTGTCCCTGGCCTCCCCACAGGGCTGATGGCAGGTCCCAAGGCAGAAATGCTTCACCTTGATGCTAATTCTACCCAAAGATCAAGGCTCGTATCTAGTCTAGCCCTGGGTTTGAGCTGAAGGCACCATGCCACTCCTAGCCAGGAGGAGTAGATGAGGTATGGCAGGAACACAGCCCCACGTGCCCACCCATTCAGATGTGTGTGATCCACACTTGATGGTTCCCCTCAATGTAGCTTGTTATCCCAATTCCACAGGGCTATCAGCCCTCCAAGCTGGCATCTGAATCAACCCACCCTTACCCTGGAGGCCTCTACACCCCTTTCACCAAGCTACCCCTCCCAGCATCCTTCAGCCTTCTACTACTGAGGACACATCCCCTCCAGAGGAAGCTATGAGGTTCATAGTTGGAGTCCATCCTTGTAAAGTGTTCGGACATTTCCCATGGCTCCCTAGTGCCTGGGGATGAACATGGATGCACAGGTTCCCTGGGAATGGACATGTATTTGTCCTCAGGTTTGCACGTGAGGCCACCTTTCCTGATTCCTGTGGATCCATACCCTACATAATCCTACAAAAAGGACCCCCTGCCTGCCTCTAACCCCAAGCTTCCATGAAGGGCCACCTTGGCAGATGACAGACAGCAAACAGCAGTATCTAGATGTGGGTCTACTAAGAGTGATTCAGAGTGGGGAGGCACAGGAGGGAAGGAGGGAGGGGGCTCATCTCTGAACTCCTGTCATCAGCACCCCTTTACAGAGAGGTAAAGAAACAGACCAGAAACACACAGGACTCCCAAGGGACGCATCCTGCTCTCCAACTCTCCTCCATCCCTTCTGTATTATCTTCCAAGGATTGGGGTGTTGGAGCCCATGAGTGTGAGTGTGAGTGGTGTGTGTGTGTCAGATAGAGAGAGAGAGAGAGTTTAGGACCAGCCGTAGTGACTCAGATGCCTGCCTCATCCGGACTCAGTTTCCCCTCAGCTCTTAGTCTGCGTTTGAGTCCTTACTGACAGGGTGCGGCAGGTCTCGCCCCTGCCCTCCGCCCAAGGGAAGACGCATGCTTACTTGCATCTGGGCTAGCTGTGAGGCCCAGGGCCTCCTTCCTCCTCTTGGCTAGGCCTGCAACCCAGACCTGGTGTGTCTAGGTCTCCGGGGGGTCTCAGCAGCACGGGCAAAGGGGGGTGTTCGGAAGGGACAAAGCCCGATCCCTGCTTGGCCAGGTGGCGCTGCTCCTCTGGGCGCTGGGCGAGACCACCGCAAGCGAGCGGGGGAGGATGCGGGATGCAGGCGCTTGGGCCAATGGTGGTGCGGGAAGACGAGCTGCTGCCATGGCAACAGCCAATAGCAACCCGGGGCGGGGACCCGTGCGGACCGCGGGGCATCCGGCCTCCTCTGGGGCTCAGGGGCTGATGGGGTGATGACACTGGGATTGGCAAACAAACCCCTTACCAAGAGAAAAAGGAGCACCCTGAATACAAGATTCCATGCAAACATCAAAATGATAAATATGACACCAAAATCATGGGGCTGGGGGAACCACTCAACCCACCTGTCAGGTTTGGAGATGTCAAAACAAGAGGGGCTTGCTACAAGCAAAGCCAGAGTACCCTGAGGTCCTCAGTAACCTGGGACTGGGAGGCTGGGAGCTGAGCAGGCACTCTGGGGAAACATTGGCAAACCCACCCCCACCACACCACCTGGCAGAGCATCAGGACCAGGGCTTGCCTGTCATTTCCTGTGACATTCCTCCTGAGTCTCTCTGTTCCTGTTTCTATCTCCCTCTAGGTCTCTCTCCATCTCTGACTCCCTGGTGCTCAAAGGGATGCCCTTGGGCATTTAGCCTGAAGAGCCTGGGGCTAAAGAGATGGTTCAGTATTTAACGATGCTCTTGCTCTTCCTGGGAACACAAGTTCATTTCCCAGCATCCAGATTCAATGGCTCACAGCTGCCTGAACTCCAGTTCCCACACCTTCAGCAACTGCCAGCACCTGTATCACGTGCACGCATGTGTGAGCTCACACACACACACACACACACATGCCATGCGCGCACACATACACACATGAGTCCATATCTACAGTTTCTGAACAGTCTCTGGCTGCCAGCTCCACACATGGGACAGACTTAGTGCTAAGTGGTTATGTGGCCTACTGTGGTATTTTCCCATCTGGGGAACCCAGAAAAAGCATACAACCCTTGCCCTCTGTGGGTGTGAAGGAATCAAAGGGATGCCAGGCCAGGCAGGGTAACTCCTCTCCCCCCAGTATTTCAAGGCAGTAGTAGCAGTCAAGGGCACCAGGGACTGTAAGGCTTTCTGCAGAAGGCTCATCAGGGACCTGCAGCTGCAATAACCAAAACCTCCTGCTTGCTGGACAGTGGCACCCAGAGTTGAACACGGCTGTCCTTGCTGCCAGGGAGGAGGTGGCAGAGGGGTCCTTGCTGGAGGTGCTGAAGGCTGTCATCCCAGCACTGAAGCTGAGGCAGGAAGATTTCATGGCATTTGGGGCATTGAGCCAGCCTGTGCTAAGGTGAGACCTTGTCTCAAGTCAAAGAGGTAAAGCAGGACAGAGCCACAGCCAGCTGGAGGGCCAGGAGGGGGAATGTGCCTGGCACCAAGAAATGAGTGGGGCTTGGTCCTGGCACGGTGGTTGTCTGCTGGTGCAGCATTGGGGGAGGGTGCATGGGGTTCAGCCAAGGCAAGCCATCAAGGCTGGGAAAGCTGGGAAGGTCCTCATAACTCAGTTCAGAGTAGAGCAGGGCTGGCTGCTCTTGGCTTCAGATCTGCATCCACCTTCCGGGGTGACCTTGGGACTGACTGTCTCTGGCCTACCAGCTTGATTGGTAGTCCTTATAGAATAAGTCCAGTTGACTGTTTTCTCCGGAACACTATTTTGCCAGGTCCTCTCATGAAAGGGCTGGTGGGGGAAGGGAAGACTGGCCATTCCTACACAGAGAAACTGAGGTTTGGGCTGCTTCAATTCACTCCTGAACCCCAGCCAGGCCTCTGGAGAGGCTCGGCTTCTTCCTCCTTTCTCTCCTCAAGTACCAGAGGCCTGACCTTCCAGTGATGCAGGAGACCCACCCAGCACCTGCTGTTTTGTGTCTAGGCCTCCCAGCTGCGGGGTACTCCATGCTTCCTAATGGGCACAATGCACCCTGGGACTTCTATTTGTGACACTGCAGAGGTCACTGAACCTCCAGAATCTAATGGCTGCTGGTCTTTTCGGGGTCCCACCAGCCCCTACCCCAAATTCTGCTACACTGGGTGTGGAGTGCATCTAGAGGCAGCTGCATGACCATATGTTGCTCATCACTTGTGTACAGCTGTGCGCTGGGTGACGAGGCACAGCGCTAACTGGGAGGAGATAGCTGGTGCTGGAGCACAGTAGTGGGCCTCAGTCTCCCCAGAGGGAAGCAGGCTGACTGTGCAGTTCCTCCTGAGACCCCCAGCACATAAGCTCTTCTTTGGCTCATCCATGTGACCCTGGGCAGCTTAGTTGTGACCCGGCCTGTTTCCCTTTACATGGCAACCTTAGGAATGTCACAATCAGTGGATACTGAGCAGGTGGGCCCTAGTTCCATAGTGTTCAGAGGGAAACTGAGGCCTAGGAAGATGCGGGACACAGTCGGGCCCAGCATCCTGCGCTAGCCCTGAGCTCGGTATACCCCTGCTCTGTCCCCCAACCACTAGTCTCTAGATAGGAGGGAGAGGAGAATGAAGGTCTCCTATAGAGGGATGCTCCTGCATGGAAGGCCTGCGCCTGCGCATTAAGGGGGGAGGGGTTGTGGCAGCACAGGGAAGGGAAGCCCAGCCCCAAGCACTTGCCCAGGCGGTTTCCTTGGCAACTGTCTCCAGAGCAACTATGAAAGACCCCCGACCCATCAAGTAGACTTGCTTTACCCTGAGTGTCCTCATGCTGTCTCTGGCGCCGCCGTTCCCACAGTAAGGACCCCACCTGGTTGTACTCACACTCTCGTCCCCAACCAGGACTCCATGTACCCTACCTGGTCCCCGAAGAAGGCTGAGTGCAGGAGGCTTAGGAGCCCCAAAAGTCCCATGGAGTCTTGGCCGCTGGACAGCGCGGCCCCGCCCTCGACCGCAGGGATGGAGGGAGTACTGCGCCTGCGCAGACTGGATAGGGTTTGTCACTCCTCTGGGAAGGGTGACCCAAGACTCTGAGGATGGAAGTATAGGACTTGGGGCCTCCTTGGGCACAGCGACAAAACATCTCTGGTGAGTCTGGAGGACCCTAAGGATTGGAAGCAATCCAAGGGGCTCACATTGAAAAGGAGGGGGCCATGAAGAACTGATGTGTGTGGGACTAGAAGCGCCACCCTGTGGCTGGGTCACCTTGAGTCCCCCACCACCCACCCCGTGCGCGCAGATACCCCAGTGCCCAAAATTCACTAGTCATTTAGCTGGCACTTGCTGGGTGCCAGCCTGAGAGGTGTGAGAACAGCACGAAGAGGGCTGAGGGCCGGCTGGATGGGGACACTTCAGAATGCCGAGCCCATCGTGTAAGCAAAGAACACATACTGTGTGTGCCCGACCTGGTACAATGCACACTGGTCTAGAACCCAGGTCTTGGGCTACTTAGTAATAAAAAAAATTGAAAGCCTGTATGTAGGGCAGTGGCAAACAGGCCTTTAATCCTAGCACTCAGGAGGCAGAAGGGGGACTGATCTCTGAGTTCCAGGACATCCAGGGATACTCAGTGAGACCCTGTCTCCAAAGAACAAAACACCTTTAAAGGTCAGATACGGTGGTGCATTTGGAAGACTGAGGCAGAACTGCCATGTATTTGTTCCAGGTGCCAGCAGCTGTAATCTAGGCCAAATGCTTAGTAGGAAGTTATGGAAGGCAGTGAGTTTGGGAGGTGGTGGTACAAGCCTTTAATCCCAGCTCTGGGGAGGCAGAGGCAGGCCAGTGAGTTCGAGGACAGCCTGGCCTACAAAGTGAGTTTCAGGACAGGATCCAAAGCCACAGAGAAACCCTGTCTCCAAAACCCAAAAATAAAGGCAGTGTGTAGCAGGAAACCAGTTACCGAGATTTGGCAGAGGGGTCAGCACAAAGCAGAAAGGGATATGGGCAGTAACAGTAACTGGAACAGCCTCTCCCAGAACTGAACTGGGAGAGGCCAACAGTCCTCATAGTGGGAGGTAGATGGGGCAGCCCAAAGGTTGTGAACCAGGGACAGAAGCAGCTGGCCTCCATTGGAGAGGTCAGTTTTGGGATGCCCCTCTCCCAGACACCTCCTAGGAAACCATACTGATACAAAGGTGCCTCTGGCACCAGTGGCCTTATCTTTCCCACAGCCTGGTGCTGTGGGTGGGGCTGGTACCAATTAACACCAGCAGCAGGAAGCATGTAGAGAGAGGACCTAGGTTCACTCCCCAACACCCCTAACAGTTGGGGTGACCCCATACCCTTCCTATCTCAGCACAACCACAGGGTTAAATATTCCCCACACAAAGACTTGCAGGCCAAGGGCAGCTAGGCTATCTCTGGATAATACAGGAACAGATGTTCCTCCAGCTGCAGCTCTTCCCACAGCCCTGGCCAGGTGAGTGGGACATGGCGACATTGACAGGCTGTCTTCCAGACCACCACCACCAGTAACCCTGAACCCAGGAGGCTGCAGGGACCAGAGTTATAACAGCATCAAAATACGAAAAGGAAGCACTCCCAAGGCACCCCTGCAGGTCCACAACCACTCTGCAGACCCTGCTCTCATGATCCTCATTCCAGGTCTGCCTGTGGCCTCCCTCCATCTCCCAGACTCAAACACAGGCACAGCAACCTTCTCCAACAGCGTGCTTTTAGAGTCACCACACTGCCCTTGAGCTGCACCCTGTGAGACAGTCAGCCCCAATGCTGGGCAGCTTGATTGAGCCCATGGAGGACTGCCGCAGAAACACCATGCACATGGCATGGAGCCCCTTTCCATGCTGCCACCTTCGTCCTCAGCACAGGCCTTAGACATCTACCTAGGAGGTAGAAGAAAGCAGAACCCAGGGACTATACATAAGTCTTTATTGGCCAGTTACTTGAGGGGGATGAACCGGGAGGAGTGGGTGGCACCGATGCCAGGCCGGCCGTGCTTCACCGGCTTGTAGGTAATGGAGAACTCGCCAAGGTAGTGGCCGATCATCTCTGGCTGTAGGTGAGAGTGAACAGAGCTGGGTATGAGCAGCTGTGACTGACAGACAGGGGGAAAGCCACCCCATCTCACCCACCCCACAACTCACCTTGATCTCCACCTGGTTGAAGGTCTTGCCGTTGTACACACCCACCATGCTGCCTACCATCTCGGGCAGGATGATCATGTCCCTCAGGTGGGTCTTCACCACCTCGGGCTTCTCCATGGGCGGTGCCTCCTTCTTGGCCTTTCTCAGGCGCTTGAGTAGGGAGTGCTGCTTCCGCCGCAGGCCTCGGTTCAGGCGTCTCCTCTGTCGGGCACTGTACAGTTGCATCAGCTGCTCACTGTGGGAAGAAGGGAATGCAGGTGGCTTAAGCCCTGACCACACTCCTAGGGGAATGGAGACCCTTGGCAGAGGCAAGAACAGGAAGGAGGCCCAGCACATTCCCATTACATCCACACCCAGCGAGGAACATGCCCAGAGCAGGGCCTCAATGTCACCCCAACAGCCAGGAGCAAGGATGTCCACAAAAACCCATTCTACAAGCTCAGCTAACCAACCCTCACCACGTACTGGAGTCAACCTTCAGCACACATGCCCCTAAAACGAATCCAAGACCACATCTTTGAGTTTGCTGACAGCCTTTCCTGTCAACACACACGAAGACCATCGGCCCCACCACAAAGGTGTGGGGCCTGCAGGCCTGCCACATACAAGGTTAAAGCTGAGTGGGCAGAGCGCTTGCCTAGGAGGCCATGAAGTCCTGAGTTTGATTTCCAGCACCGTGGTGACCCAGACACCTGAGAGATGGAGGCAGGAGGCTCAGGCGTTCGAGGCCAACCCGGGCTACAAGCAAGCCAACCTACAGTCTCTTCCTCCCGGATGGCATGTGCAAGGGCTCTGGTTCCCTCCCCAGCATTAAAACCCAGCAGGGCGGAGGGGACAGGCCTCTTACTAGGACATGTCCAGCAGTTGATCCAGGTCCACGCCGCGGTAGGTGAACTTGCGGAAGGTCCGCTTCTTCTTCTGCTCCACTTCAGCCTGCATGAGCGCGAGTCCGGGTTAGGGGAAGCCTCGGCACCCGAGGGAGAGGGCTTCGCGAGCTGCAGCCCGGCCCGGATGGTGGTGCCGGCTACGGCGGCGCGCACAGCACCGTGGCCTCCTCCGGCCCGCGGCCTTCCAGTCCCTCCCCGCGCCCTCCATCTGCAGTCGTTGAGGCAACGAACACATGGCTCTCTCCCCGAACGGCGACCCTGAGTCCTGCGACACCGTGCCCGGGCGATGGCGGCGGATGCATCGCGAGCAGAGCGCCAAAACCTAATACTCACCATTTTGGTGGCTTCTAGGAAAAGGAAGCGTTGTCTGCGTCTGCGCAGTTATCGCGAGCTCCACCGGAAGGCGACGCCTCCAGCCGCACATGCGCTTCCGCTTTCCAGTTACTCGCTGTTGCCCCCTGCTGTGCGGAGGGTAGAGCAGGGCCCGCCGGCGCCGGGGAGGGAGGTGAGGGTCTTTTGGGGGGCGTTGTTTTGGTGTAGAGCTCTTGTTTTCTCTGTCTCTCACATGTACAAAGTCTCAAGGGGTCCCGAACTCGCAGCAATCCTCCTGCTCGACTTTGTATTTCCATTTAATTTGGTTTTTCGAAACAGGGTTTCTCTCTGTGGCCCACCGCCCAGCTTTTGTTTTCACTAGTGTGGTTGGTGTATGTGAGCCTACCACCTCAAAAGTGTGCAGGTCGGACTGGCGAGATGGCTCACAGGTTAAGAGCATGTCCTGAGTTCAATTCTCAGCAACCACATGGTGACTCACAAAGAAGCGTGGCGTATCAGAGGACAACTTGAAGGAATGATTTCTCTTTCCACCATGTAGGTCCTGGAGATTGACTTCAGGTCATCAGGCTTGGCAGCAAACTCCCTTACCCAGTGAGCCTTGCTTTTGGTTTTAGACAGGGTCTCATGTAGCTGTCCTCAAACCTGGTATGTGCTGAGAATGACCTCTAATTTCTGATATTCCTGCCTCAACCTCTAGAATGCCAGCACAAGAGGTTTGTGCCACCATGCCAAGCTACAAAGTGTGTGTGCGTGTCTCTTTTTGTTGTTTTTTGAAGGATGTCCCTTGGTCAGGCATGATGACATGTGCTTTTAATGCCAGCATACAGCTCCAGGACAACTGGGACTACATAGAGATCCTATCTTTGCAGGGGCAACCTCCCTCACTACATGCTATAAGGCTTCAAACTCAGGATACTCCTCTGTCAACCTCCTGGGACGATGAGGACACTCTGGACATGTGCACTTTGGGTCACACTATGTAACCTATCTGACAGCAAGCATTTACTAAGTGCCTACTATTTGCATACTAGTAGGTATGGTTTGGTAGGGAGGAGGCAGGGTCCTGGCTTCCCTGAGAACTCCCATGCTACTGGCTTAGTGCAGGGCTGGAACTGTTAGAATAAGGGAATCTACTGGGTACACAGAAGCTGGAGTTTGAAGGCAGCCTTGGGGCACAGAGGACAGGACAGAGAGAAGTTGCTTAACAGTTAAAAGCACTCATTGGCTGTTCTTCCAAGGTATCCAGATTCAAATCCCAGCACCCACAACTGTAGTTCACAACTGTAATTCTGGTTCCAAGTCTGACACTGGCGTACAGACATATGTGCAGGCAAAGTATACATGAGAAAGATAAATCACTAAACAAAAACAAAAAAACACTGGCTGCTCTTCCAGAAGACTGGGGTTCAATTCTCAGCACCCACATAGCAGCTCACAATTATATATAACTCCCAATCCCAGGGTATCTGATGCCCACCTCCAGCACCAGGCACATATACGGTACATATATACACATGAAAGCAAACACTATACGTAAAACAATACATTTGAAATTTTCTTTTCAAGACAGGGTTTCTCTGTGTGCCTCTGAATACTAGAATTAAAGGCGTGTGCCATCGCTGCCTCACCTGTGAAACTCCATCTTAAAACAAATAGA